ATAACAACAATAATCAATATCATCATGGTGGGCGGTGGGGGGTGGCAGTGGCCTGGGGCCGGTCCAAAGGCCTCGAGGGGCTGCATCCGCCCCCCAGGCCTTAGGTTGCCTACCCCTGCCGTAGGGTCACCCTGAGTTGGAGACAACAAGAAACACCACCATCACCACCACCACAAAGGAGAGGGCAAACTCCGTATCCACAGATTCAATCACCAACAGCTTGAAAATTCCCTCCCCCCACCCCAAAATTCCCTCCCCCACACCTTGATTTTGGCATTTTACCATTTAGTCCCTCCCAATTCACTGGAGTTAGGAGTGAAGAAACCCTGTGGAAAAACCACAAATAAAAAAAGCTATTCTTTTTACCTGAGAGAATACATCTCTAGGTATCTCTAGGAATCTCCAGGTCTTCTAGTACAACTGTGTGGTCAATGTCTGTCAGAAGCTGACCATAAAATTACAGTGGAGGACCTACAAATGCCTAGAAAAGCATTTTCTCTAGGAATGTCTAGGTTTCTCAGCACAACTATAGTCAAATTTTAGCAGATTTGCACTGTAGGACCTAGAGATTCCTAGAAAGAACATAGTAATCAGAACCATAAATGATCAAATCCGCAAATATGGGGGGCTGACTGTATATAAGGGATACAATATTACTATGCCACTGTATACAAATATACTGTATATATTTGGACTTGAGCATCCACAGGTTTTAGTATTCACAAGGGTCCTGGAACCAAACCAAACCAAAGGCTAACTGTACTTTCACTTGTACCAGTTGTTGAGGCACTTGACCAGAATTGGAGATGTTTGGTCCCAGCAGAGGAGCTTAGCCGCTATCCTCAAATTTTTTATGACAAGAAAAAGGCATTCAATACCAGCAGTGCTCAATCATTTTGAAACAAAATCAGTTGCACAACTTCTTTATGGATCCCAGCTGGGACCCCTCCCCAACTCTGCACCATTAGAACTTGTGCAATCCACATTTCTAAGATCAGCTTTCCAATATGTCTCTAATGCAACTCTGAAATTGGAGTCAGGTTTTATGAAAGTGGAAGCAAGAGTGTGGGTAACTATGCTCAGCTACTGGCTCAGACTATCTTTGGGGCTCTACAGACGGCTCCTGAGTGCTGGATCGGGCCACAGCAACCGCATGCTCCAGCCATGATCTGGCACTTTGCCGCTCCAAAAAGAGCTGGCAAATGCCGCTCCTTTTTGGAGAGGCAAAAAGCTGCCCTTGCTGCCATGGCGGCGGCTTTTCTGCGCTCCTTTGGCGCAGCATGTCTAATTGCTGCACCAAGGGCGCACTCTGATGCTGCTTGCTGTCTGGTTGAGTGGTGTCTGGATGATGTAGGGGCAGAGTCGGGGTGGCCGGCATGCGGTCACCACGCTCCAACTCCACCCCCTGGCTGGCCCTTTTGGCTGGTCTGTACTGGCCCGGTCTTCCCCACCAGCCTTGTTTTACTTACCCTGGCAGATGAATTCCAGTCAATGTGGAAACAGACACTGATGACTAAAATTTCATCACTGGGCTTCTCTCCAGATCTGTTGTTAACAAACGAGTGCTCCAACTTTTATTGCTAGTGACTCCAGTAGATATTTGGCATCACCTATTTCATACTTAGCAAAACTTGAAGTACCTGAACACCAGAGAGTTTATTTTGGAACGATATCATGCCCTCTCTTCAGCTGTCCTTGGAGGCTGATATAAGAAGACCCCCTTCTCAGACAGACTATGCCCCTGGCCAAATAGAAGCAACAGAGCATGTATTACTCCAGTGTTCATACTACAGGGACATCTGCCTCAGCCTTATTTCTCCTCTATTGCATAAACACCAAGGACACACCTGTCAAATTTACACTTCTGTGTTATTTTCAGACATCAGTCCTGAATCCTGCTATAATGTTGCCAGATTCAGATTTATGTTGGAAGCCACCCCGATTGCTATACAGAGGGGAGGGGTATAAATAAATTGTATTATTATATATTATTATTATTCTGTGCAACTGCAATTAAAATTTGCAGGCAATGACCTCCACTGCAAACTAGTACC